AAATAGAAAAGGAGGTTTCCCTTTTACATGTTACATATATATATATATAGATATTTTTTAATAATATATTTTTTATTTATATTATATAATAATATTTTATAATATATTATTATGTATAAAAAAAAGATGCATGTGGCCATGTGGATCCGGTTTTAATGCTTGAAACATGGAGTAATGTCAGGTCAAAGAAGAAAGAGAAAAGATAAAAGATCAAAAAGAAGTGGTTGAATTTTTTTTATAATTGTTTTATTTGAAAATTTAAAGTTGTATTTGAGATGAAAAAAATTATCTCAAATAAATAGTAATATGTAAAATGTTATCTGATATAAATATAAGAAATAAAAAAGTTATAATTTTATGCAAAGTTGTACATGTTTTATACTGATATAAAAATCACCCGTTAGGAGTTGTAAATAAATAAAAAAAGTACAATCCCATAAATAGATTAATTTTTTCTTTTCTCCTTCTTTAAATTTTTATACTTTGCTTTTCAAATTTTAATATACTAATTAAATAATTAAAATTCATTTTTAGTGAGCATTGTCTCTGAGGGATTTCCCATAAAGGAGTAAAAACTATTACCTTTAATAAAATTTCCTAAAACTCCCTTACCCATAATAATTGTATATACAACTTTTTACATATAATAATTTAAGGATAATAAATGCTCCAAACGGATGTGCAGAATGTGAAAAAATTTCTATTTGTGCCGCGAGAACAAAATATTTAAAGAGAAAAGGATTTTTACTGCAAAGGTCAGGATGCAAATTTTCCCTAAAACGACAAATTGCGACGGTTTTGATCTCTGTCAAGAATCACAAATAAGCATTGCAGTTCCAATGACTAAACCACAATCCACCAAGTCAGGAATGGCACTGTCATCATTGCTTTTAATGGATTGATAGCAGTGCCTCGTATATATCATTGAAAAATAAAAAGGATCTGTAGCAAGTCAAGATATAAATTAATTGTTGAAGCGCAAAAAAAAACAGAGGCTCACATACGGACATACGGACATACCCTTGTACAAGGTTCTGTTCATGGTAAAGATCTCTTGCCAAGTCGCAAGAACCCACCAAATTAAATCGTCACAGCAATGATACTGTTATTGATTTTGAAAATGGGCCTCATACATTGTGGTTGATTTAAATGGAATATTTCTTGGAGAAGAATTCGGCTGATACCTTCACGAATTGCTATATATAATGCTGCAAGGAAGGTTGAATCAAGAGTTGCGACTAAGAATGGTTCTTCATGTCAATAAAATGAAGCATGGAGAGGATTAAAGGTAACTTATCCAAGTGATGTTTTGTTGCAAAATTAATACCCTTAGACTAAAGAGTTGTTATAGCATAATTTTAGGAGTCAAATTCACAGAGAAACTATATTAAACTAACAAAAAGAATTATCACAATAAAAATTAAAGAGTTGTCACAATAAAAATTAAATTAAAAAGTGAATTTTAAAATTGATAATTATAGAAAATTGAAAATAATATTATTATGAATAATATTTTAGGATTTACTTAATTGATTTATTCAACTGTTATAAATTTTGACTCCTATTTATTACTCAATTACATGTTGCACATTCCAAACAAGAAAATTTAATTTTGAAGACCCAATAATAATAACTAATGTATTTATTACTCAATTATATGTTTCACATCCCAAACAAACAATCAGAAAATTTAATTTTGAAGACCCAATAATAATAACTAATGTATTTATTTTAAGAGAAATTAATTTCAATGAAAACTAAATTGATTTATCATTAGGAGCTATCTGAGAGTGACAATATATTTAATCGACAATATTGCAATAAAAGATCAACCCGTAAAACAAATCTATCAATTAATTATATTATAACAAATTACACATAAAAAGAGCCTCACTAATCTTTTATGAAATTTGATGAATATAATTTTTAGGGTTTTCAAATCTAAAAATAATTAATAATCTCTAAAAAAATAAAATTAAATAATAAAATTTATGAAGAAATCAAAATAAAATAATAAGTCAAATTCTTCAATCAAGAACCTTCCTAATCTCTACCATCTTGTTAGGTTCTCTTTGTGTTTTGATGATGATTTAAAACTACGATTCAAAAGAGTTTAATATGCTTTTGTGCTAAGTACGCAGGAAAGTTAATTTAAGGATTCTAATCTTTTCCTACAATTAGAATTAATTCATATCCTCCTTGTTCAAAGTTTTGGGTTCGGACCAATTGGATTTGATTTGAACCAATTCCGAAGTTCTTTTTCAGAAAATAGTTCAAACCAATATTTTTGGCTTCGAAGCAAAAATTCTGGAAGATTAAATTTTGACAACTCAACTATCCGTTTATTCTTAATGGGTCATAGGGGATCCAAATGTTTGAGCACTTTCCAAGACAAGTCTGAAGAAAAAGGTGAAATCTAATTGGAGCAATTGAGAGGTGGCTTTGAAGGGCTAAATGAGCTTTAATTGCAAGGCTCCCAACCAACTATTAAAAGAACATAAAAAATCAGATATGAAACTACAGAAGAATGAACTAGTCCAGTGATACAGAAAAACAAAGTTTGTTTTAGAAACTGTTCTGGATCTTCTTCTTCTTATAAGCTTTTGGGTTAATTGTCTTACAAGGGTTTTGTATTCTTCTTGGATTGGGATAATCCTTGAAGGGGTTGAGTGAGTTGAGATTCACTTGTGAGGATTTAATCTTGCACCCACAAGCAAGAGTTTGTTCCGGTTTAATCTTACACCTGTAAGCAGGAGATTTATAGTGGATTGAACTCTCGAGCAAGGAGGCTTGGGGAGTGGACATAGTTCGAGTTGGAGGAACCACTATAAATCATGGCTTGATATTCTCTTCCCTTTCTTTTTATTTTTCTGCACTTTATTTGCAAGATTGCAGTTAATCTTTGTTTTATTTGCACAACATATTATATATATATTGAAAACTTCATTCACATTTTTATAAAAGAAAAGAAATGAGTTTTATATCTTAGGAATTGATAAGACCCAATTCATCCCCTCTATTGGGTAGCTAGCTAAGATTACAATTGGTATTAGAGCAAGTTCTCTTAGAAATAGATTTAACAATATTGAGTAGATCCATGGCTTTCCAAGCTCATTTTGTTGAAGGTCATTCAATCACTAGGCCACCTTATTTTGATGGAACAAATTATCAATACTGGAAAAATATGATGCAAATTTGGTTAGAAGCAAATAGCTATAAGGTGTGGGATTGTATTGCTAGAGGACCATGTAAAATCTTAGTTTGTGACAAGGATAACCAACTTGTTCCTAAGGATCCTGCATCATATGATCAAGCTGAAAAAAAAGAAACTGCAGATAAATGCTCAAGCTAAAAATGCATTATTTTGTGCTTTACATCCTAGTGAATATGATAGAATTAGTGCATGTGATTCTACTAAGAAATGTGGGATAAATTACAAGTGGCTCATGAAGGAACTAATGAAGTCAACAAATCAAAAATTAATATGTTGGTTAAAAAATATGAGCTATTCAAAATGAAATCAGATGAAGACATTAAAAACATGATTACTCGTTTTACCAAAATCACTAATGAATTAAAGCTTTTTGATAGGGTGCTTCTTGAGGAAGATAAGGTCAGAAAAATTCTTTGCTCCTTGCCAAAATCCTGGAGTTCAATTAAGACGACAATAGAAGAAGCTCATGATTTAAGTGCCATGACTGTTGAGATGCTGCAAGGGAAGCTTCTTACACATGAAATGGCCATGAAAAATTATGAGAGTGATGATGATTCTCGGAAGAAGAAATCTATAGCTTTCAAAAGCTCCTCCAAAGATGAAAGTGACAGTGATGAAGAGGATGATGAAGAATTTATAATGCTTGCTCAAAAGTTTAAGAGTTTCCTAAGGAAAGACAAGCTAAAGAATCAAGGACAACAAAAGAAAAACTACAAAAGTAGTAAAGGAAAGGGAGAAAGTAGTAAAAAGGATGAGATTATCTGCTACAAATACAAGAAGGCTGGTCATATTAAATCTGAGTGTCCAAACAATGATGAAATGAGTCTAAAAGCCATAAAAAAAAAAGAAGGCAATGGTTGCCACATGGAGCTGCAATAAGGACTCATCTTATAGTAAAGAAGTAAGTGACATGGAAGCTCATGTTTGTCTCATGAAAATGATGACACAGATGAGGTAAATGCCATTTCTTCTTCTACTTTTGATCATGCTAGTGATGATGAAATGCCATATGAAGATTTGCAAGATGCATTTAGTGAATTATATGAGCATACTAAACAAATTAGTGCAAAAAATGCATCTTTAAAAAGGGAAATTCTGTCACTTAGAAAAGAAAACAGTGATTTGAGAGAATCTTTAAATGAGGAAATGATAATTAGTCGAAATATGGAAATTGACTTAGAAGAGTCAACAATTGCATTTAGAAATTACAAACAAAAGTTGATTGAAGAGCATGATAAGCTGGTAGATGAATTAAAAAGGAAAATAAGCCATCTTGAATGTTTTCTAAACAGTTTTGTGAAAGGCAAAGGTAAGTTAGATAACAATTTAAGTTCACAAAGATTTCCTCATAATAGAGTTGGACCTTCTTTTGAATTATCTAAGTCTTCCTCATCTAAATCTACTGTTTTTATGAATTGTGATACTTCGCATTCTTATGACATAATAGAAGCATCAAGTTCTAGAGATAATCATGTTCATTATGGTATCATTTGTCATTATTGTTTAAAAAGGGGACACTATATTCATCAGTGCTATACTAGAAAGAATTTCTTTAAGATGAATTTGAAGTGGGTTCCTAAGAAAATTTCTACTTGTTCGACTAACTTAAATGGACCCAAGAAAGTTTGGGTAAATCAAGTGCTTAAGTTGTGTTTTCAAGGAAGCTTGAAGGAAAATTTGAAGAAAGAAAAATTATCTGGACAATGAGTGTTCTAGACGTATGACGAGACAAATCACAATTCTTAAACCTTGAGGCAATGGAAGGAGGAACAGTGATTTTTGGTGACGATGCAAAAGGTCACATCCAAGGTATTGGCAAAGTAGGTAAGAATTTTGGTTTAGTTATAAAAAATGTTTATTATATAAAAGGTCTCAAGCATAATTTGATTCGTATTAGTCAACTATGTGATAGGGGCACAAAATTATTTTTTGAGTCAAATGCATGCAAAGTGTTAAACATTTATGATGATGAAGTTGGTTGTTGGTAAAAGGAAGGGAAATGTTTACATTGTTGATTTTGATGATTTATCTTCATGTAATGTAAAATGCTTAATGGCTAAAAATGAAAGCGAGAGTTGGTTTATTTTGAAAACAATTGGTAACGGCCATCTATGCATCTATATTGACTTTGGCTATAATTTTGGTGCTTAGTACTATTACAATGTTTGACTTTGATGCTATTTTGGTATTATTTTTTGTCTACTGCATTTTGCTAATTTGTATGTTTCTTTTTGCTAATGTTCAAAAGGGGGAGAGGAACTTAAATGAAAATTATCTTTATTACTTATTTGTGCAATTCCTGTTGAAACTTGGAAGCATATTTTGAGGGGGAGCTTACACTTATTATCTTTATTATTTTAAGGCATGGTTTTGTCATCATAAAAAAGGGAGAGACTGTTAGGTTCTCTTTGTATTTTGATGATGATTTAAAACCACAATTCAAAAGAGTTTAATCTATTTTTGTGCTAAGTGTGCAAAAAAGTTAATTCAAGGATTCTAATCTTTCCCCACAATTAGAATTAATTCATATCCTCCTTATTTAGAGTTTTGGGTTCGGATCAATTGGATTTGATTTGAACCAATCCCGAAGTTCTTTTTCCGAAAAGAGTTTGAACCAATATTTCTAGCTTCGAAGCAAAAATTTTGGAAGATTAAATTTTGACAACTCAACTATCCGTTTATTCTTAATGGGTCATAGGGGATCCAAATGTTTGAGCACTTTCCAAGACAAGTCTAAAGAAAAAGGTGGAATTTAATTGGAGCAATTGAGAGGTGGCTTTGAAGGGCTAAATGAGCTTTAATTGCAAGGCTCCCAACAAACTATTAAAAGAACATAAAAAATCAGATTTGAAACTACAGAAGAACGAACTGCTCCAGTGATACAGAAAAACAAAGTTTGTTTTAGAAACTGTTCTGGATCTTCTTCTTCTTCTTCTTCTTCTTGTGAGCTTTTGGGTTAATTGGCTTACAAGAGTTTTGTATTCTTCTTAGATTGGGATAATCTTTAAAGGGGTTGAGTGAGTTGAGATTCACTTGTGATGGTTTAATCTTGCACCCGCAAGCAAGAGTTTGTTCCGATTTAATTTTGCATCAGTAAGCAAGAGATTTCTAGTGGATTGAACTCTCGAGTAAGGAGGCTTGGGGAGTGGACATACTCCGAGTTGGAGGAACCACTATAAATCATGGCTTGATATTCTCTTCCCTTTCTTTTTATTTTTCTGCACTTTATTTGCAAGATTGTAGTTGATCTTTGTTTTATTTTGCACAACAAATTATATATATATATTGAAAACTTCATTCACGTTTTTATTAAAGAAAAGAAATGAATTTTATATCTTAGGAATTGATAAGACCCAATTCATTTCCCTTATTGGGTAGCTAGCTGAGATTACATCTAACATAATTCCTTAACCCTGGAAAGAAGAAATAAAAGTCTAGAAACAACCTCTCTAGCCTCCTCAATTCTAAACTTGGATGAGTATTTATAAGATTTTAAAAAGCCTAATTATAATTATGTGGGACCCACATCTTTGGCTGAAAAATCGCATAAGGGGTTGGCACTGCCACACCTTGAGTGTAGTGCTAACTGAATGCTTGTGTTGGGTTTTTGGCCTTTTGTGCAATTTTGGTTAATGGTAGAATAATAGTCTTGGTCCTTAACTCTTGGATTTTGCGCAAGTTGATCATAATATTTCTAATCTTTGCAATTTGCTCCTTAATCAAAAATGGAGAAAATCTCACTTGAGCCTTCAAACTTCTAAATTTGATCCTTGGATCCTCATCTTTCCAACTCTTTGCATTCAAGTCCTTTCTTCTAATTCTCCTCATTTAACATTAAACCTTCAATCACTACAAAATTTGCATAACATGAATAAAATCAACAATTGTGAAATTACTTATAGAAAAATAAAACTCTTAAACTCATAATTCCATAGATGCCATGGGTTAAGCACACTTTAAATATGCATTTTCATGCTTTCATCACCAAGCAATTTGAATCAAAGTTGTAAATTGGAGATACAATTTCTCTCAAAAATATGCTCAGGAAATTCTGGTATGTTTCAAGAACTTTTCTTGCATTATATTGCAGTAGTTTTACTGTATGTTTTTAATTAGTTCTTGTGAAATTATGAATTGTCTATATTAAGTAAATATTTTGAACTTATACTATAAAAAAAAAAAATACAATTGTGGGATTTTCTGTAAATAGATGCGTCACCACAATTGCATGATATTATAGGCCTTTGGTTTAGGGTAACAAGAGCGCATGATGAAACTTAATTCCTAAATACTAATAAATGTTTATAGATTAGGAATACACTGCCTCAAGGATGATTTGATTGACATGCTTACTAGTTCAACTAAAAGAGGTAAGACAATAAAAGAAATAAGTATCATTATTGAGGATGATATGTTTGCTATACTTACAAATTTGAGAATTTCGCTATGTCATTAGCATTGAAAAAGTCTTGAGGAAAGATTCATAAATTGTGTTCCTTTGAGAGGGCCCATCTCATCTCAAGTCATAGCAAACACATTGCTATATAATCTTATGAGAAGTATTGTGAAAAATGAGAAGGTAGAATATCTATCTATTAAACAAATAATGTTGATTGATCCCATAACAAAACCTTTAA